TTCAAAATAAATTTATAATATTATATATTTATACAATATCATATTATAATTATAATTTATAATTTTATATAATATTATAATTATATCATTCCCATTTCATTGGAGCCCTACCACTAAATCTGCTCCTACCACTTTCCATTACACGTGATACTGTCGGCCCATACAAATATCTCACACCGGACCAACGAACCATAGTGTAGACGCAAAAGATGGAATAAGTTGCTTTTGGACTCCGAATTTTAAAAGTTGGTTTCTCAAAACCACCAGCACATTGTTTGCAGCTTTCTCCTAGTGCAAGAGTAGGTACCATCAACTTGTCTACTTTGAAAGATCCTGGAATGAGTCAGGAAGAGATTTGGAAGGAGATGAATGCACTTTTTTGTGCGGATACCGGTCTGATTTTGTAAAACCCGTCTCAAACAACTTCAAAGGGAGTTGAAGAATGCCTTGGTGTCCATAGAATAGGCATCCAAAACGATACTTACAAACAAATCTGCAAAATTGACATCGAATAAGCTAGCATTAAAGAAGTATAAACAAGAACACAGAAGTAAGATGTTAGAAAAACCCGTAGTGAAAAGAAAATGCTTCCATTGCTGCAACTATTAAACAGCATTGGGATATTTTATGGGAACAATTATCATTGAACATATCTAGATGCTGTTATCTGAAGACAATGCTTCCATTCTGTAGTAGGACTCTAAGCTTTTAATAAGTGACTGGTAAAATGACTGCAATTCCTTGATGTCACTCACTACCCTGCAGATGCACACAACCAAAGATTATTTTTAGCAAACCATATAGAGAGAACGATCTTGACCAAACTTTGAGCCGATGTCACATAAGCATGATATTATGTTATTTTCAGGGGTATGTATCATTGTCCTATGTTATTTTCAGGATCACACTGATACAGTAAAGTGTGAATTGAGCAAGTATAGCATACCGCAATTAGCCAAGAATAACTGTTAAAAAGCTTCCATCCTGGAGTAAATAGGCTTTATTTACTA